AAAGAAAGGAAGGAAGTGATCAATTTTCCAAGAAGTAACTGTATACATAGATGTGTAGATCATGCAAAGACGTAACTGAAAGACCCTAAAGCAAGACACTTGCCTTAGGGTCTTTCAGCACCAATCTGGATGACATTATAAGAAAAAACACAGTTCATTCATAAATGACAATTTTATGTCACGGAAGGAATTTGATCTATTCATGTCATCGATGACATCGTAATGACTTTCATTCATTTATTTGATTAAATCACAACCAAAGAATCTTGTTTAAATTGAAAGGGTTATATTTTTAGGAGTGATTAATTTTTGGGAAAGATTTCTTTTACCTGGGATTTAATCAAATAGGTGAATGAATGTCATTACGATGTCATCGATGACATAAGTAGATCAAACTTATTCCGTGACATGAAATCGTAATTTATGAATGAAATGTGTGTTTTTTCTTGTAATCTTATCCAGATTGATACTAAAGAGCCCTAAGGCAAGAGTCTTACGGCGAAACATCCATGTAAGTGAAATTTTCATTTTTATTCAGTATATTGTGTAGAAACTCTGTGAATGATATCTGATTTAATTTCATTAGAGGTGCATAAGCGCTCCAAGAACGTAGTAATTTACATTAAATTGCATTCGAAAAAACAGAATTGGAACGTATCCGATTAACAAATAAAATATTTCTCAAAAAGTTCGAAGTATATTGAGTTAAACCCCAAAACAATTGTCTGCTAGAGTTTACCACACCACTCTCGACTGAATCAAGTGGGTTAAGTATGTAGGACAGTCTGTCTGTCGAAGAAAACTGAGAAACATTAGTGATTATTCCAAGAGAGAACTAGTATGATTATTTGGTGAGAACAAATCCGGTAGAGACGAGCTGTTACAATCAATATTATTCATTCACAAGATAGGTACTGGGAATTTTAGAATATATTCATTTACATATTATTCCCCGAAGGTTGAGTTTCATATCCCCTTTCTGGAAATGAAGGGTTTTGAATTTGTTCGATAAGGACTGTAGTTACCATGTGGGCCGGGTGTTAGATATTTAAAAAAAGAAGACAATTTGGAAAATTAATAATGGAAGACACCAACCGTAATTTGGTTCCGGAAAATCTCCTTGCCTTGCCTTCTGATTTCATTTCCTAACATTTGTTCGTGGGGTACTCCGGTGGCGATCCTGAAGGATGCTGTTTTGGTGGTANATTTGTCGATTCCTAAGAATTACAGACCGATAACATGCTTGAATTCGTATTATAAGTTGTTTACAAGCATCTTATACACACGAATACTCACCGCAGTTGACCGAGTGTTCGAACGGGATATATGAGCAGAGAGGGTCAAGAGAAGAATCGCTGGATGTAAAGAAAACCTGCTCATCGATAAATGTGTAACACAGGACTCGATATAATATAAGCGTAACCTCTCTATGGCCTGGATCGATTACCGTATAGTATTTGATACAATTTTGTATGAGATCATCTTGCATTTGCTCAGATGCCTTGCGGTACCCGACAAAATAGTAGGATGCATTGAACAACTGATATCACTTTGGCGAACTCGCTTCACCATAACATCTGGTCAAGCAAGAGTCCTGACAGGGTGGGTCACTTTCAGAAGGGGTGTATTTCAGGGTGATTCCCTCAGTCCCCTTCTCTTCTGCATCTCACTATTGCCATTATCCGTTGCGCTCAGAAATACTCGAAGGTATAACTGTGACACCTCCGAAAACTGGAGGTACAAGGTCACTCATTTGTTTCATATTGATGATCTTAAACTTTATGCCTCTGGAGAGAAGGAACTCCATCAGCCCTTGAGGGTGGTGGAAGAGACACGCATGCTATCGGTATGAAAATCGGGATAGACAAATGTGCAATGGTCCATCTCAAAAGAGGACGAGGCAGGGACTACGGAGAGGATGTGCAGCTCGTAGATGGAAGCATCCTACACCATCTGGATGCCGGAGAGACGTATACTTACCTCGCCCTCGGGGTGGAAACTTCGACAGATCTGGCCATCGGAACTGTCGAAGAAGAACAAAGTTGCTGCAACAAATATGCTTGCTGTTCCAATATTACTCTACTCTTTTGGACTAGTGAAGTGGACGTAAAGACCCGAAAAATGATGCATCTCTATAGGAGTTTGCATTCCAAATCGTCCGTTCCACGGTTATACTTTCCCCGACAACAGAGAGGCCGTGGACTTTTGAGTTTGGAGTATCTACATGACAGATGGTACTGGATACAGCCTGTAGAATCGTCAGGAGTTCGGATCCTCTTCTCTGCATGGTCCGTGATCATGAGAGAGCAGGAATTGGAGCATTTCTCTTTAGGGCAGCTGCTCGAGCAGCTGATGAACTCGGTATAGTTTTCGACGCTGAACGAGGTGACCACAGCTCTGTCACCGAGTTGGAACCCGTTCAGCAAACAGCTCAGATAGAAGCCGCAGAGATCACCTTACTTCTGCGGAGATATAAAGATAAGCCAATGCATGGGGTTTTCTTCAATAACATTAGATACCTTGGCTTATCAAAGCGCCTGACGTTCGCTTTTCTCAGGTCGAGTGGGCTGAAGTCGGAAACTGAGGAGTTCATCAGGGCTTGCCAGGATGGTGTCTTCAACACCTCAGTCGACCGCAGTCTCGTGATGGGTATAGAAGTTCCTGATACAAAGTGCAGAGCCTGCCGCGAGGCGCCCGAGACCCTAATGCACTTGCTATCAGCATGTCCAGCGTATGCGGTCTCAGCCTATATCCATTGACATAACGCCAACCTAAGAGTGCTTAGGTTGGCGTTATGATCTTTGGGTCTCGGACCCAAAGATCACTTACCCCACGGTGTGGGGAGTGGTCATTGGTTGATACTGCAGGCGCGCCCTCCCGAATGTATCGGGGCTTCGGGGGATAGGGCCTGACCAACGCACACTACGGTGAGAAAAAAAAGATAATAATCATACCTGAACCCACATACAGTAACATGTGAATACCGAACAGAATTAATGATTAAACTCATGTCCCTCTATGAGAAGGTGAGTAGCACGTTGAGTTTATTTTGGAAACCGTTCCGAATGTACTTCTGATTTGACCTATGTGAATTATCGGATATGATCCACACGACAATTTGTAAATTCTTGACCTATCTGTGACCAAACTTTTGTTATTTTTTTTTGTCATTCATAATACACCTTTTTAAGTAAGTATTGATTTTTTTTGCCACGTTTACACCTTCATTTTGTGGGAAATTCAAAACATCCATACTAGATTGATCCAAATGAGTTGAAGTTCTGAAATTGTCAGTCTGTAGATCTTCCTATATTGGAATATGAAACAATTAGACGTTCTGATTGTTTGTCGCAGAGTTACTTTCAATTCAACAAATCGATTTGTTTCATCTATGAGGTGGAACATGACCAACATTTTCACATAGGTCAAACTGGAAGAACATTTTGAGCACGCATACAAGAACATAGTAGAGAAATATGAGTTTGAAAAAATTGTTTCTATTGTATTTGTTACTACGAGGTTATCATACAAATCCTCTCATAGAATAAATAATTACTCAGTATAGGTAATGGCCATTCATTTATTTGCTTGTTTTCACCAGGACATAATGAATTGTTGTGTTCGGTCTCTTCAGATTGTTGGATATTAAAATGATTGCAATCTAAAATTGATTTATCAGTCATGCTTGAGAAAGCTATTGTAAAGTATGATTTTTGTGAAACCTTTTATATAGGGTCTTTCATTTAGCGCTTCCTTTCTTTGAATTTGAGTGTGTGTGAGATACCATAATTTTTTTATTAGTTTGAAAGAACTATTGATGCCATTATGTGTGGAATATAACATCGCTGAAGATGATTTTTTGATGAAAATTGGGGTCAGTAGCCAACTGCTCCAGAGCTCATTCAGCGAACACACTTTGTTGTTCTATGGTCGTTCACCTTCAGTTCCTGGGCCAGTTGAATTTTATACGGGTGCAGGCCTAAGTTACAACGCAAAACTCGCCAAAATGTAGTCTGCCGAGTTCATGTGAGCCATGAGAAATAACTGCATCGGATTCTCCTGCACACTCTCACATACAGCAGCGATGTTTTTGGCAGATCTTGCTTTTAGTCGTCGTACGGGTGTTGATCGATCCAGTGGACCAGTGGACCCAAATTTATCCACCATATTATTAATAGTACTCTCGTTAGGACGATTATGGCGACCGTAAAATGGGCGGAGCGCGCGGTACGTTGTCCAAACAGAACACTCATTTGATTAAACAGTTTTATCATTTTTTCAATCATGAATTGAAAATTGCTTTGGTATCTGTTAGCTTTTTAAAAATGCCCTACAATTTCTCAGTAAGGTTATGGTGATTTATATAATGAACTTTATGAATTTCAAAGAAATGATAATAATAATCATTTTTTTATTTGTGCTCGACACAGAGTGCATCGATATGAAAACAAAATATTTACCAAAGAATAGTTCAATATATTAGTTTTAGAATTTGTAACATCAATACAATAGCATTCATTTGAAAATGTTCGCCTTTCAACGATTATAATTTCGAAAGTCATTTCGTATAATTTTTGAGAAATTCAATGTCATCCTCTCAATCTTACATTTTCATTTATTCATTACCTACAACAGGAAGATGAAGAGGTAGTTGATGAAGGTGATTATGAAGACGAACTTCCACCAGAAACAAGTTCAACTACACCGGCGCCTAAGAAATTAATCAAAGGAGGAATTGTCAGGCCGTTCAGAAGCAATGATGATCTTCTTGCCACCCTGAAGAGGAGGAGAGAACAAGTTGTCAGCAGTAAGTTTAGTAGTCATAAGAGCTAATGGTTTTTGTGATTACCATACGAAAATGATCTGTACAGTTCAAACGTTTTCTTTTTAAATATTCAAAAATGCAATCTGAAAATTACTAAATAGGTGTGCAACCTCTCATTTCAGAAACAACAATTTTTTCTGTTTTATTCTGTTCAAATTCCTCACTTGAAACAATAGGAAACTAGGAAACGTGTGATTCCTAACACGTTAGTGTAAGGTAAGACCTCGTTCATCCTTAGCTTGCACAAGTTCGTAGGGGTGCGATAGCTGATTAACGGAAAAACAGATTTCAAACAGATTTTTTTTAACAGGACAGGTTGAAAACCAATTGAAAAAATTGATTCCGAATTGTAGTGTATTGTCATATTCAAGATCAAGATTCGAATTTCTTTCTGAGAAAATACTTATTCTTAGACTAATAACAAGTTATGTTTTTGTTTTAATTGATTTTGGCTTAAATTAATATTGTATTTTTATATACCAGTCAATACAGAACACTTGAAAATGAAAAAGAAAGTTTTGACTTTCTACTTCTCGTGATACACAAAATGGGAGTCTTTCAAAGAAAGGACAGAAGCAATCAATTTCAAAAAATCAACTTTATACAATGATGTGTAGATCATGCAAAAAAGCAACTTTCACATACAAACTGGAAGAGAAAACTATTTTTATATAAGTATTCAATTACACAATGAAGAATACTTTCGAAACGAATAATGAACGTTGAATTATACGAAAAAATATTTTTTCTATTCCTTTTGTATTCCAAACATTCGTAACGGAATCGAATCAGATATCATTCACAGGATTCCTACACAATATAATTAATGAAAGAAGTAAAATTTTACTTACATGGAATATTGTCATTTTCACTGGTAGACACCCGGATGTTTCGCCGAAAGAAACATCCGAATACATTATAAGAACAATATTTCTGAATCTGAAGTTTCATGTTTCCACTGGACGTAGAAAATGTTTAATTATGAAGCCTAAGCTAGTCCTACACTCTTGCCATTACTAAACCGCAACCCATAACCAGATTCCTGCATGAGTTTGTAACAGCAAATTATTGATAATTCAATAATCTGTTGCACATTCATTTGCGAACGGCAGCTTTTGGCCGGAGAGCACTATAGGTTCGTTAAAAAAGTATTTTCATCAAATTCAAATCAACACTGAATTGGGGGCCACCCAACTTTGTGAAAATCAGTAGTAACGATTCGTAAAGCTGGGAAATTAAACGGGATAAATTGATGGGAATGTATTCTGTGGATTTGTTTGATTGATGGCCTTTTTATTTTGTAGAAATTCATATCGAATATAGAATAAAGAAAAAAACTTTTGTCTCATTTCTACTAAGTTTATTATATGTTACGAGCGGTTTCGGTTTATTAGTCCATTCTCAAGTTGAAATGAAAGAACTATCACTAATTTAAAATAATAGTTTTAGTCACTCATTATTATATTTAGTCTACAAACTTTTTCTAATGGTATATTTGTTAAAATCTCAATAATTTAGTTCAGTTGGTAACATTTGTTTGTAAGACATACAAAAATCATTAATTATTGATGTTTTCTATCTCTTTCATGAAATAAACAGAATATATTGCGCCAAGTAAAGTAGTTGGTTTCCTAGATTCGCTCCTGCTAATGGTATATAAATACCATTGATTTTCATTATGACAATTTCCTTGAAGTAAAAGGTAATGGTAAAAGTAAAAGTTTGATGCATAAATCAATGGTGTGCGATTTTGAATCCTAAATATAGTGTCTTTCTCAAACTAGTCATCGAAACATTGTAGATAGATAGATTAGTCATTCATTTCCAACGGACATAGACACCCAATTACTGAAAAGCTGAATTGTGAAACATAAGCACCCCTACGAACGACAACCCTCAGAAGTCGAAACTTGTGCGAGCTGAAGATTAACGAGGTCTTAGCTTTTAACGTGTGATTCCTAACACGGGTTGGACGATAGCAAGTGAAAATTGATCGTTCAGACTAGGGCTTGAACCACTGACCAACACGGCAGTCAATTCGAGTGAGTGAACAAAGCACCCACGTCGAACCGCCTGGCTACCGACCGCACATCATTCATAAAAAATTAATACTGAAATCGTTTCGATTAAGATTATATTCTTGAAATTATGTGGACCAGAATTAGAACGTACACTAGGTTTCTAGTAGGATATACATGTTGTATGTATTCAAGGATAAGACTCACCTGTATATTTTTTTTTTAACAGAAAAATTATGTCTCAATCTTACCAGCGACCTTTGTAGAACATTTATTCTATAGTTATCACAATGAAAGGTTATGTGTGTTCATATATAAATTTTCCCTTGATTAGGTATCAGATTGTTGAGTAGAATAGAGTAGTTCCCTCTCAGAATAGATTCTAGTTGCTTTAAATGATAGGAATTTTCAAAATTTTCTCTGAATACGTTCTATATTGGCCACATGAGTATGATAAAGGAGGTACCATTCACCAGTAGTGAATGGAAATTGTTGTAGCAATGTTTTGGAAATATCTACTTCACCGCACCAAGAAGCCGTACGTCCTATTTGCATTGGAGATAACTTGGTTAATGTGCGGAGGCAGAATTATTTCCGGAAACAATGGTCAGTGCCCAGATTCTTGCCCTTTTTTCGCCTCTAATGTGTTCTTGTGGATTTTGTGATCAAACTCGATAATGTCATCCTTTTTGCTGAAAAACATCACGGTGTATTTCAAGATATTTAGGTCAAGGTGATTTCTAAAATAGCACGCATTAATCTTTTCAACAGTCTGGAGCATTTTCAATTATTCATGGATTTTAAGATTATCGGCGTAGAGCAAATTTGTTGAACTGATGATTTTTGAAAAATCACCAATAAACAATAAAAATAAGAGTGGCCCAAGGTTTGAATTTTGGGGTACGCCTGAAGTGACTATATATCGACGTATTGATACCTGTCAAATAAATATGATTGAAAAAGCAATAATAAGCTAGGATAAAAAGTATAGCGATAGTATTTCATTAGTTCGGAATTCCATTGCACAATATGATATAAAATGGTTTGAAAATCCTGAAAGAATCAATAAAATTAAACAGAATAGCTTAAAATAACAATTATATTAAGCAAAAAACGTAGATGGCAATGAAATAAAATTCAAGCAACAATTGAAAGTTGAAAAATTAACAAGAAATGGAAATTAAAAATTGAGAGATTTCAAGCCAATTTACTTCATGACATTTCGATTGTTAGTATCCACAATCGTTTTGGGGTGATGACTGTGGGTGATGACCGCCAGCCACGGAGGAAAAAAGCGCGTGTACCATTTCATCATTGTTTCTCCATGCACTTAAGTTTCCTGTGGGTGGATTTATATTTAGTATCAGCATTGCACCCGTGCGGAGCCGCTAGTGTTACATATAACTTTGATGTTTTCATGACATATAGAAACTGAAATATTGATGTATCAATAATGTTTCAGATAAAGGGAACAAACCCGTTCAGGAAGAAGAAGACTCGGCATCTGCTCCAGTAGAAAAAGAAGCACCGAAGAGAAGCTCTTCGTCCGGAAGAAAAAATAGGTTCAGTGCCAAGGAGAAACCAGAGAAAAACGCGGTTCCTGAGGATGAACCGGCACCTGCTGCCCCTGCAAGAACGGGCAGAAGGTTCTCTGGTAGAAGTTAAAAACTATTCTAGGTTATAGAAATTTGTGTTAAAAAAAAATTATGTAAGACAAAACCTGTTGGACAGTATGTTGTGCTGCTTTCGGTTAAAAAAAAATTATGTAAGACAAAACCTGTTGGACAGTATGTTGTGCTGCTTTCGGTTAAAAAAAAATTATGTAAAGTGCAAACCACTCAGTTCTTGTCTTTGATGAATCGAAAGAAAAATGTTTCAATATTTTCCTTGAAATGATGTAAGCGTAGTTCGTTGTCAAATTATTTTATCAGAAAATTCATGGCCATTCTTTAAAAAGCATAATATATTTCCTTTCATATAATGAATTTACAGCTAGAAGTGGAAACTTGATTTTTTTCTATGAAAACATAGTGAAAATGACTCAATGTCAAGTCTTGAATATTGACCATATCAATTCCATATCTGAGATCACGAATGAGTATTGAAAACGAAGTGGTTTCAAATTTTCATATAAATAAATCAATGGTCTCAGATATAATTGAAAATATCTGAAATAAACAATCAAATGAGTAGTCCACTGGTCCCAATAATTATACTTTAACAATACTGTTCGAATTCTCAATAAATAAACCCCTAATTAGTTCTTCATTTGTAATGTGTCAGGAATCACACGTTAAAAGGTAAGACCTCGTTAATCCTTATCTCGCACGAGTTTAGACTTCTGAGGGTTGTCGTTTGTAGGGGTTCGACAGTTGGTTAACGGAAAAACAAAACAGATTGAACAGAATTCGCCTAATTAAATTCACTTTGCAAAAACTGCTACTATGAAAGCTTTGCAAATGTTGCCATCTTGATTTCCTACATGTAGCATTAACTGGGTATAATTGTATTTTAATTAAATGATTTGGAACAGATTTTGAGTGTAGATTTCCATGACTGAAAATCTACAGTTGAAAAAGAAACTCGAAACACCTATTTTTTGGAACTCCCAATTTCATGAAGCTACGAAAAGATAGCGACTGAACTAAAAGCAAATAAATATCGAAAGTAATCAATAACGGAAATATAATATGCAAAAGTTAGATATAGAGATATTGGAGTTTCTGTAAAATCAGAAAAGGTAAATGAAGTGTGGAAGCTGGTATACAAACAACTGGTATGTAAACAACCGTTAACGGAAAATTAAATTTTTACAAAACATTAAAAGAAAACAACGTGAAAATGCTTATGAAGAAACTGATAACGAAGTTACCACGAATTATTGAAAAAGTAGATATAAAAATAGTTCAGTTTCAAGACGATACTACTCCAACAGAACTATCTACATTAACTTTTTACAGTTGCAAAACCAGCAATGCTCAAACTGCTCTTTCAAAACTGTCTATGTTCAATATATAATTCTAATGTATTAATCTCATTCACATCCAGAAGTATTATGGTTCAGACAATAAAATGTTGTTTCCTTTCGTATTGTATATGACTAATTAATTCAACACTTCGTGAGATGAGTTTTTTCGACAACATAGCGGGAATTGCAAGTGGACTACTCCAATGATTTTTTGATAAGTTCAGATATACAAAACACTGATACATTTAGAATTTTACAAGTCCTAATAGTTACATATTCTATTCGAAAGTATTTTATTCTTCTAGGAAAAACAGTGGTTTTTAATTACCTTTGAACAAAACTGTCTCAACCGACTTTGAAATAATCGTATGAAGAATTTAGGTTTCATCAATGCATATTCAAAATATCTCCGTTTTACTAACAAAATACTGAGCCAAGAAACATAGTGGTTGATACGATATGAATGATCTTTGGAAGACTCATCTTCACACCTTATAACATTTGGAACCATTGTTATAAAAAAGGAAGGATAAAAAAAAGGGGGACATTGAAATCTCCGCTATTTTTTTGTTGATTAGGTACATATTGATTTTTTGTTATAAAATTGTTAGCTATATTGTGAAATATAACTATTTGATATTTCTAACTTGTAAATAAATCGGGTTATTTAATAAAAAATAATATAGTTTCTTTATTCATTCTTATTTATTTAGATTTCAATTTGAATTCAACGTTGGGCCATGCAATTGATAGCCGAGTGTTTGCATGCACCATCACAACTCTTTATCATACTATCATATCATGGTAAGAACAAACAATAAACTTTTTCTTTTCCTGAAATTGTCACAATCGACAAAAACAAAAGTTACTCTCCAACCTGATCATCCAGACCGTGTTTCCATATTGTTTGTAGAATAACTCTCACATATAAATATTTGAAGTAATACATATCACCTATCACCTTTTTCTGGAATCTATATCATAGTGATTTAATTCCCGATCAAAAAAAAATGATGTATTCCAATATTGTGTAGACAAACACCCAGGATTTTGTGGGTAACTCGCAAAATATCTTTTTGAATTGTTATCGATCTCTTGTTATCGATCTCTTGTTATCGATCTTTGTTATTGATCTCTTGTTATCGATTTCTTATTGTCGATCTCCTTCAGGCGATGAACATATATTTTTTGAAAATTTGTCTTCTTTATTGGACCATCTCTACCAGTCCAACGTCAATATCATTGTTTGTGGTAATTTGAATTTTGACAGGTACAAAAACAGCCATTTCCTTACAATGGCCACCTCACTATCGGGGTTCAACTTGAGTCCGATCAAAAGATGGCCATCACGTATCACGAGCACATCATGCACGGTCATCGATAAAATTTTTATAAACTCCGAAAACGAAGGGACATGTGGAGTATGTAATAGTGATATCAGATCACAGATCAATTTCAAAAAAAAGTGTACCCAAAATAATTGAAACCGACCAAAACAACATGTTTGAGAAGAAGCTGCTGAAGAAATTACATCATAAAATTTGACAATAAACTTGATACTGAAGACTGGTTCAATATTGATTCTGCTCGAACCTTTGAGGAGGCCATCGATTTTTTGATGATACGTTTATGTATAATTTTGATAAGGATTTTCCTTGTGATGCACTGTTTGGAACTTTTGGTGTAGTAATGAATATTACTGGAGTTTTTTCCAACACCAATCCGTTATTTTAACACCACGATACATGTTTCGATCAACAAGTGATCATCTTCAAGAGGAAGATCAAACTAATCATACTTGTTGCTATTGACCGAATTGACTTTGTCAACAAAACCCTTGATTTCTTGAATTTAGGAAATTTTGAAATGCTGAAACGTGATCCAACTAATTCTTTCCAAAGACAAATGAAAGATTTTTTGAAAAATTCAAACATACTGTTTAGTGAAAGGAAAAAGTTCAAATTAACATTGATGAACCCCCAAATGCCAAAACTATATTCACTCATAAAACTGCACAAACAGAGTTATCCAATTAGACCAGTGGTTTCTTTTGTCACTGCACCACCATTGAAATTATCAGAAAGGCTAATCAATATCATCTTGAACCATTGTAACTTCCAATCAAAATTTAGTCTACGGAATTCATATGACTTAATCAATAAAATAGAGAACATACCTCTATCGGACAATGCAAAATTAATATCCTTTGATGTGCAGAATCTATTTCCCAGCATACTTTCTGGTGTTACTATTACTTTAATAATAGAATTATTAGATAAAAATAGAGTGAACTCAATCATAAAACGAGAAATAATTGACCTTCTGTCGTTGTGTCTCAAACAAAATTTATATTATAACAATATTTATTCCTCCTCAAAAGGTTCAATTACGGGAAATCCATTAAGCCCCATACTTGCAGAAATTTTCATGGATAATCTAGAGAAGTCGATTTTTAAACATCCTTTGATTAAGAATTTCTTGTATTGGTATAGATATGTGGATGACGTTTTGGTATGTTTTACAGGTACTGAGAGAGAAATTAACAAAATTCATGAAAACATTAAATCACTATTTGTAGATGACATAATGAGGAAGATGAAGTTTTGATTAAGAATGAACGAAATCTCGAATTTTAGAAAGAACAAAAACCAAGATAAATACATCTCAGTTCCATATTACCAATACACGAAGAACTTTGGAAAGATTTTCAAGGAACTGGGTATGAAGGTGGTTTTTAAAACAAGTCATACACTACAGAGTCTTTTAGGAAGTCCAAAAGACAAAGTCGAGAATTCGGAAAAGTCTGGAATTTACGAAATCAAAAGTAAGGATTGCGATGCAAAATATTATGGACAGACAAAAAAATTTATTATCATAAGATATAAGGAACACATAGCACACTTAAAATATGGAAGACCTGAAAATTCAGCAGTCGCCCATCATATTTTGCAACAAAACCATTTCATAGACTTCATTCAGTTCATTGAGATTAGTTAGACAAGTTAGCAACAACAAGCATCTACTGCCTATGAGAGTATAGAATTAAGTGAACATAATGATATTATGAATAACGATGGTGGACCACCACCTAATAGTATACCATATAGCTTGTTGAAAGGGTATTTCATTTATTATATTTATTAGATAGATAAGGACACATTATAAAATCAATTTGAGACAAGTAGATAAGGCAAATTGTAAAATTAATTTAAGAAACTCAAGACGCAGGTAAGAAAACAGGTATCTATGGTATAAATAAGAATAGCTTTGTACGTATAATTAGTTTGATCTTCCTCGTGAAGATGATCACTTGGTGATCGAAACACGTGTCGAGGTGTTAAAATAACGATTTGATGTTGGGAAAAAATTTCAGTAATATCCAAAGCTCTTCCTATAGAAATGTTTACCCAGCGCGTTGTTGGTAAAAATAGGTTGATAGCGAATCTTTATATATTGCAAAAATTTTACCCAAACTTAGGCACTGCTTACAAAGAGTCGAAAAAGAAACACATCTCTCTGTTTGAACAAAAGCGTAAATCATTATCAAGATAGTATTTCAAATGCTGAAAATAATATGATGGCCTCTTAGAAAGTAGTGGCCGAGTTGAAAAATTAACAAATAAAAAATATTGAGTTGAACTTGAATGGAATGGATTCCTCCAACCGTATACATGAATGAGTCATTTTCAGTTTAGTATCAGAAGTTGAGATATCAATGGTAGAAAGTTTCAATTATTCCATCATCTTGTTATCTGGTCGGTACTTTAAAATTGTATACAGTCTAGAGGCTATTGAAGGCTGAAAATGAAACCTACTTGTTGACTTCATGATTTTCTTGACCAGCACTGATGAATTTTCCAACTACATATTCCAAAATTCGGGAAAATGCATTCCTCCAACCGTCTACATGGATAAATCATTTTCAGTTTAGTATCAGAAGTTGGGATACCAATTTAAAAAAAAACAAATTATTCCATCATCTTTTTACCTGGTCGGTACTTTAGAATTGTATAGAGTCTAGAGGCTATAAGAGACTATTGAAGGCTGAAAATGAAACCTACTTGTTGATTTTATGATTCCATTGAGAAAAAACAATTGTTTTATATTGATTAAAAATAAACAAACTAAATTTTGATAATATTTTATATTGTGTTTTCCGAGACCGTCTATGTGGATGAACAGTTCGGCAATTCTTTGTTTCTCCTAATGACACCAAATCATCAAACTCATGTCCCTATTTTGAATTCTGTTTTCATCTTATTATTTTCAGAAATTGCATTATCGACGTTTTTGTTAAAGTTATTGACGTTGCAAGGTCGATATGTAGCAAATAACGGATGAGGTTGAATATCCTAACAACCGAATCTGTTATTTGCGTATCGGCTGTGCGTCGTTCGTAATCCCGCTGAAAGATTACATTTTGATTCCGAGGAAAGAACAAACCACGCACCTCGTAATTCTACAGAAAAATCCCAACATCGTTTTGTCATAGAACAGCTCAAAGGAGGCCCTAGACGGTCAATCATTTTGATCAAAAGCATGAGTCAATCGATTGACTCAAGCGTGATTGACCGTTTGGGAACCTGTTTGACGCTTGAAGCGAGGCTTGATGGTGATTGATAGAAAGTTTGAATGACTCAAGCGGTTAAAGGAGGGAGTTGACCGTCTAGGGCAATTTTCGTCAAGCATTGCGTCAGTCACTAGGTGGAAATCATGGCGGAAAGTGAGCTTCCCGAAAACTCTGAGTGGGAATTAATTAATCTGTTGATTGAATTATATCGCGATTGTCCAGAATTATGAAAAGTGAAGAGCAAGGACTATTACAACAGAAACAAGACCACCGTCGTTTATTTTTCTGTTGTTTTTTCCTCTTGAGGGAAACCAATGTGAGGAAGAGGAAGGCCAAATCCATGTTCGAAACCATTGCTCACCGAAATGAACCACCAGCGAACGAACAACAAGTGTGCACTGGTCACATTTCTGGTGAGAAGAAGGTTTTGATCAAAAGATTGAAGAGCTAATTGCAGTTGATTGAAGCGCATGCCAATCGATTGACTCAATCGTTTGATCAAGCAGATTGATCGTTTAGACCACCTTGATTACAACAATATTATTAACAACGTCAGTTTTTTGTGTTCGCGAGTTCGCTTCAACAACGACCATGGATGAAACTGAGGAACAAAATCAAATATCTTTAGAAATATTGGGAAAAATAATGTGCAGCGAGTGTTGATTTACTGCCGAAAATAACTCAAGAGCGATATCAAAAAGAATATGAGAATTTTGAAAAGTGACGTAACAGCAAGAATGTAAAGATGGTTAATGAAGATGTATAATAGCCTATACTAAAAGAAAATTAGAGGTTTATTCTGCTAACTCGTTGAGGAACAGGATTTTAATAGTGAAAGTTGCTTTGAAAGTTCATGACAACATTGACATTTCAAGGTTAGTTCTAAACTAACTGAGATTAAGTAACTGAGTTTTTATTGGAGGCAGATTCTCATACATGGTTGCAT